CTGGGTGAGCACGTTCTGTAGTTCCAGGAAGAGCCTGGCAATGCAGGAACCTTCATAAATACTCTTCAGAGCACAGAAGGTTCAAGCAGAGAAACATAATTTGAAAGTGAATTTATTTCTGTGAACTGGCATGAAGGGAAAATGTTACTGGTGAACTGCCGTATCTACAATCCTCAGGTGAACATTTCTGAAGGTTTTGTTTATTTTTAAGTGCAGCAGGAACAGCTTTAATTTCCTTATAAAGATTCTACAGCACAAGGTAACATCTCCTTTGGGAAGTGAATGCAGAAAGGACTCAAAATTTTGGCATCTTAGCTAAGATGGGTTGAACGAGCCAGTGCGTTACAATGACAAGCATTAATATGCACGGCCACTTTGTTTCATCAATAAAAAGCCAAAGAACTTAAATGACTAAAGGCAGAAGCAGCTTTCATTATGAATACACATCAGTTTTAAATTCTCTGGTAGTTCTGTAGTCCTGGAAAAGGCTACTTTTAAATAAAATCATGTGGAAAAAATATACATAAGTACATTGTGCACTTGAAGCAAAACCATATGCATACTTCATGCTGATCAAATGTTTTCTATTACAATCTGCATCTTTCCCAGTCTGAGGGAGATTTGCCCAGCACTTCACTGAATGATACAGAGTAACGAGGAGCCAGGAAGAGATTTTTTGGTGCGTTGGGCATGAAGAACAAGAGCAGGTCTACAGAAACAAGAATTTTGAAGGCAGATGCTCATCTGACCAACACCAACTTCTGAGAGCTGAGAATGACACCATCAGAGCCTTTGTTTCCAGGCATTCAGTCTGAAAGCAGCAATGTCGTTTTATGCACGCAAACAACTTAGTTCTTTAACAACACTGGTGTGGTTCTTACGTCATGCTTGTACCCACCCTAGTACCTTCCTCCAAATACAGTATGAAGTAGCTGTGTCTCAGGGCATGTTAGGACAAACCATATCCTGGGCTGGATCCAGAGCAGCATGGACAGGGAAGCGAGGGAGGAGATTCTTCCCCTCTCCTCTGGGGAGACTCCCCCCCTGCAGTTCTGCCTCCAGCTCTGGGCCCCAACAGCAGAAGGGCACGGAGCTGTTGGAGCGAGTCCAGAGGAGGCCCCAGAGATGCTCCGAGGGCTGGAGCCCCTCTGCCCTGGGGACAGGTTGGGGGAGTTGGGGGGTTCAGCCTGGAGAAGGGAAGCTCCAGGGAGACCTCAGAGCCCCTTCCAGTGCCTGGGGGGCTACAAGAAAGCTGTGTGGGGGAAGGGATGGGTGGGGACACGGGACACAGGGACAACACAACTTTTTTACAAGGGCAGTGAGTGACAGGACAAGGGGTAACGGGTTTAAACAGAAAGAAGGACATTTAGATTGGGTATTGGGAAGAAATTCTTCCCGGAGAGGGTGGGAGCACTGGGACAGGTTCCCAGAGAAGCTGTGGATGCCCCATCCCTGGAGTGTCCAAGGCCAGGTTGGATGAGGCTTGGAGCAACCTGGTCTAGCGGAAGGTGTCCCTGCCCATGGCAGGGGGGTTGGAACTGGATGGTCTGTAAGGTCCCTTCCAACCCAAACCTTTCTGTGATTCTATGATCCTGAGTGATTTTTAAAACCACTAACCTTGCAACAAGCAAATAAAATTAGAACCTAACTGATTTTTTGAAGTCTCAAGTAAGTCAGAAACCACTCATCTAGCTATACTCTAGCAATGCTAGTGCCACTTCTTCTTCTGCTATCCCAGTGGCTGGTAACACACCTTCTCTTCTTACTCATATAAACATTGCCTAGTAAACTGTGTGGGGAACCACCAATAAAAAAAAGGAATAACCTAATAACAATTTTATTTGAGAAAATTTGAGAAAACAATCTCACTAAGAAGAAACATGTGAATGGCCCAGGTAAGCAAACTCCAAACCTCAATATCCTAACTGGAGCTAATACAGTAAATTGGGGTCCCATGTCTTATTCTAAGTAAAAGAGGGTAGAAAATCATCTTGGCCTCACCTCCACCAAAAAATGGAGTCAAACTTAACACCTTGCACTTTGCTCCTTCCTTACAGAGGCACAGCATCCTTCATACGTTGGTTTACCCTTCCATCTTAATGCACATCACACATGCTCTGTAGAAGGCATCTTTGGAAAGTTCATGAACATCACAGGCAGATGGATAGCCCACACTTAAGTTCAATTCATTCAGGAGAAGTTTTGTCAAAATTCAAAATTTAAGTTTAGTTCCAACTTCAGCAAGATAAGCAGTTTTACTGCCTCAAAACTCAGGTTGGTTATTTTTGGTTGTGCTACTCATATTTCTGTAACCAATAACTGTGAACCTATGTTCTGAAGGTCATTGTTTATTCCTACATATCCTTGTTATTGTAAAAAATCATAATCATGGTTGGCAAGGCTGGCATGGATGACCTGTCAGTTCAGCACAGGAACTATGCCCTGAAAATCAGCACAAACCTGAACCGGACTCTCTTCAAGGAAAAGGGGCATACTGGGGACACCATTCATGGAGGCCTGGGGTCTGAAAAAGCAGGATGCTTTGGGGAATTTGCTTTGCAGATAGAATTGATGTAGCCCAGCATGAACACTAAAACTGCATTTATCCCTGCAAACAGGGTTACGCTGGCTACAGCTAGGAAAAACTTCTTGACCAGCTTTGGATAACAAACTCATTACCCATCTCAGCACATGTGACAAAAGGCTAGGCCCTGTAAGTCTTCAAAGGATAAAAGAGTGTCAACAAAATTCTTTTCAGAACATATTTAAGATTAATATTACACTACCTATAAAAAAAAAAACAACCAAGAACAACTCAGGAAGACACTAAAGCTACTGAAAGTAGGATAGGATTTCCATTCTTCAGTACGTGCATCTCCTGCTGTCTGTTCCCCATCATAAGGCGTGATGGGAGATCCCTGCCAGCCCCATAACTTTGGACTTTTTTCTTCACAGGATCACAGATTCATTTAGGTTGGAAAAAACCTGTCAGATCATTACGACCAACATTAACCCAGCACTGCCAAGTCCACCATGAAACCATGTCCCTGAGCGCCTCACCTACACATCTCAGTCTCCCAGGATGGTGACTCCCCCCTCCCTGGACAGCCCATTCCAATGGCTGACAGCACTTTCCAGGAAGATATTTCCCCAATATCCCATCTAACCCTCCCCTGGCACAACTCGAGGCCATTTCCTCTTGTCCCATCATTTGTCACTTGGGAGAAGAGACCTACCCCTCTCTCTGCACCCCCCTTTCAGGGAGTTGTGGGGAGCAATAAGGTCTCCCTGAGCCTCCTCTTCTCCAGGCTGAACACCCCCAGCTCCCTCAGCCGCTCTCCACAGGAATTGTGCTCCAGATCATTAACTATCATCTTTACTATACAAAGGACTAACATTTTAGGTGGAAAAAAAAAGACAGACACCATACAATTGTCTGGTTGTCAACAGTTACTTGTCATAAGTAGGTCAACACTGACAGTGGCGAGACGGGGATGCCGGTTTTTGTGCCATATTTCCTCAGCTCCCCAAAATCATGCCATCCTCAGTAAGAACCCAAACTTCTCACCCCTGGCCCCGTTGTTTGCCACTGGGGAGAAGAGACCTACCCCTCTCTCTGCACCCCCCTTTCAGGGAGTTGTGGGGAGCAATAAGGTCTCCCTGAGCCTCCTCTTCTCCAGGTTGAACACCCCCAGCTCCCTCAGCCGCTCCCCACAGGAATTGTGCTCCAGATCATTAACTATCTTCTTTACTATACAAAGGACTAACATTTTAGGTGGAAAAAAAGACAGACACCATACAATTGTCTGGTTGTCAACAGTTACTTGTCATAAGTAGGTCAACACTGACAGTGGCGAGACGGGGATGCCGGTTTTTGTGCCATATTTCCTCAGCTCCCCAAAATCATGCCATCCTCAGTAAGAACCCAAACTTCTCACTGATCAAAGGGAATATCAGGAATTCTTCAGGGTTTTTTTCCCCAAAAGTTCACACACAGTTCTTCTCTTCCAGGTTTCCACAGCGAAGCTGCAGTTTCCAGCACTGAAAGTTTGTGTTGGATGTCACTAACCACCATGTAGAATTACAGCCTTGGGTTCTGAGACACTAGCCCACCCTACAGCAGCAGGGCTGAATAATGAAAAACCCTACAGGAGTAAGAGATAAGAATGATCAAACAGAAGAGGCAGGCATGGCCAGAAAACAAGGAAACAAGCAGACAAAAATAAGGACAAAAGAATTAGTATGGATGAGAAGAGAAATAAAGATTCTCTGCACTTGAGGAACACTGAAATAGTCAATTTTTGAAAGGAAAAGGGAGGAGACATGTAGGTCACTTCTGTATTATTCATTTGCATTTGTTAAATAAGGGCAGCCCTACTTACTGATCTCCTGAAACAATACCAGGATTAATTCCCCATCTGTGCAGCACCTTCAAAGCCTCATACAAAAACATCAACGAAACTCTGGCTTGCTCAGTGCTTGCTGTAGTAAGAGGTACACAAAGACCACCACCAGATTATTCCTGTGTATAGACAGAACTTTAGTCAAAGTTACAAACTTCCCACACGGAAAAGCTTTGATCTTTTGGCTCCAGAGCAAAAACGTTCTGCAACAGCTACACACACCTGCCTGCCTAAATAATGTAGAGGAGACATCGGCTCAAACTGAACTGACTGAAAATCTCCCTTCTGCCCAAACCATCAAGAACACAACCAAGATCAGAACAGGCACAAAAAAACAAGTTTATTTAACTGAAGCTGATGGTTCGGTGGTGGGGAGGGAGGGAAGGATGACTTAAACACAGGTATGGCCAAGTTGTGCCCCTGGACACACCACTCACTCATTTGATGACATGGCAGAAATCACTTCCCAACTTTTCATGTCAGGACATCAACAGCAGCCAATCATGAGGGGATGATACACCTACTACTACTCCTGTAAAAGCAGCAGAACATCTGTGAATTAATTCTGTAAGGAGTGCATGTGACTTAGATACTCACTGCTGGCACTTCCCGGAGTACTGAACTGGGAAGTTTCCAGGAACTTGCGAGGTGTAGACAAGTTGGTAACATCCATAAGAGGTACAGAAGAGGCATCTTTCACAAGTGAACTGTGGGAGTGGAAAGAGTTAAAGTGAACAGGTTACTACTACTATTTTTGTTCACAACAAATAATCCATTGATTTCTTACATTTGTAAGCCTAAAGCAACAGATATACATAAACACACAATTATGATACAAGAGGTTTACAAAAACTAACTTACACAGGTTCAGAGTAAAAGGGGTAGGAAGGGACCTCTAGAAATCATCTAGTCCAACCCCCCTGCCAGAGCAGATCCCACAGGAGCAAGTCCAGGGGCTTTGGAAAGTCTCCAGGGAAGGAGACTCCACCCCCTCTCTGGGCAGCCTGTTCAGGGCTCTGTCACCCTCACAGGGAAGAAGGGTTTCCTCATGGTCAGCACAAGTCCACAGACGAATACAAGGGTGTGTGTATACACACATTTGAGAGACAAGGTAAAAAGCCAAAAAAGCAGTGATGAGGGATCACTGTCATATAAGAGACAATATTTGTTATCTTAAGGCCCTTCTGAATTTAACAGGACTTTAGACTTGTCTGACTGGTCACAGGACATGATCAGGGCATGGGCACAGAGCTTGTCTTAGCACGTGATTATTTCCCAGCAAACATACTCACCTCCAGCACAATGAAATACTGCTGGCATAATGATAAATTAACTTGGAATTGATGTCTGGAAACCCACATATTTGAGAAGAGATGCTCCCATTTCCATGGCTTCTGCACTACCTAAGCCCTCAAAGCTTTTCTAGTTCCAACTAGAAACGTCCACCCTTTTTCCTTCCCGTTACATTCCTGTTCTGTCCACACCTACATGCATCCCTCTCCAAACTTTCTTGCTCAGAAGAAAACAAACTTCCTACTTGGGCATTTTCATAATAAATTCATAGTATTATCTGCCAAAAGTGTGCCATGCTTCCCCAGCTGCATAATGAAAGGCATCCAGCATGTTCCCTTAGAGATCAAAATGCTTATTGAAGTCTGCAAAGACAAGGGCTAAACTTACTACCCTGCACAAGAACCACCTACAGGCCCTTTACATCTACTTACATACGCTTACATATATACTTATGTATGCACTTACAGGGATTAGCTATGCATTCCAGCTCAGCACTGTCAGAACACACTGAAAACCAACACAAGAAACAAGTCTAAACATGACTGCATCCTGGCCAAGTCTAGGGCAGCCAGTCTAGGGCAGCACAGTAACAAAGCAACAAGCCTGTCCTGATGCAAGAGTTCATCTTATCAAATATCAGTTATGTGAACAGGGAATGTGGGAAAAGATAGAAAGTAAGAAAGAGATAAGAGTGCCTGTAGCAGTCGTACAAAACTGCAGTTAATTAGCAGTCACATACACAAAGCTTTGGTGTACCCAGAGTCTGGTTTTAATTAACAAGATGAGTAAGGAAGAGACTGATGACTTGCTAGAAATCCTCCTTCCTAGAAATTTCAATTTCAATCACTCCTTTATTTCATAAATTCATTTCATTAAACTTGCTATCCTCTTATTTTTGGTAAGCATTTTTAATTCCTTCTCATAATAAAATGCTCAATTATCTTTTCTCTGCATCTTTATCATACGCTGGCTCTCCTCCCTGTTGCTCCCACCCTTGTTTATTATCTCTCCTACTCTACAGAAGTCATCTTCTAACACTGCATCTCTCTTTTCTAGCCACTATCTTTCTTCCTTCCCTCCCAACATCTCTGTTGCCCTCAAACTCAAAATTTGCAAATTTAGGAAAAATTGCTCAGGCTTAAGCTGAGTTTCCACCGATCAGAGGTACCAGCCAGGTAAGAACATCTTAAAAGCACCTTAAAACACAACACAGCAAAGATGCTGCTCAGGCACTTCACTACTGCAGCATCCACCCAGTAATCTTAGTTAGCTGGAAGCCTTTTAAACCTTGGATGTCTGCTAGAGAAGCTGAGCAATTTTTCCTTGTGTTTTTCCCTTAGCCTGACCTGAGCCTCACGATCAGGACATCTGTAGGAAAAGTACATGTATCAGAGAAAGGAAAGAATGCTAAAAAGAATTGACCGCATCATAATTCCCTGTGAAGCGGCAAAAACCCAAGAGAATCACTAAGCAAAAGTGAAAGAACAGGAACAGACTGTCCACAGGCTCCAAGGTGCATCAACATACTGGGAGTTTTTCTGCTCTCCACAACCATAAGCATGAGAAATCTGCTTGCCAAAAATGAAAGGCTGAGGTGTAAGTTGATGGCACTCTCCCAAGGAAGTTTCTGCTTATCAAAGGCAGAATGCTGTTCTCTTCCCTCCCAGACCAGTTGCTCCTCAGTTCACCACACCAAACCCACCTTATTCTCCCCCTCTCCTTGCTGCGTTGTCCTACTCGGTTGGTAGACTTGATGTAAAGGTGACGGTGTAATTCATCTATCAGGACTAAGTGCATGTTCATCTTCTTACTGTGGAGCTCCAGTCGCAGGTCACTCAACCCCTCCACCTGAAGAAGGGGACCCTCCAAGGAATCCACTGCTGACACCTGGAAGGAAAACACATGGGACAACTTTTAAAGGTCAATTCATCCATCTCTCAGCACTCCTTTGATTAGGGAGTGTCTGAATACCACGAGCATTCTATCCATAAACCCTCTTAAAGCAGAAAAAGGTTAAGTAGTATTTCTTTATTTCTATTTCTAAAAGAAAATTCGATATATACAAAGGGGTCCAATATCCAAACAATTCAGATTTAATGAGCAGTCTTCAAATATTTTGAGCATATGTATAAAACAAGTTTGTTAAAACACAGTTCATTAAATAAGAATCAAAGCCCAGTTCACCACAAAATAAGAGCATTATCAAGTAGAAAGGTGTTCAAAAAAGATACTGACAATGATGTTTGATAGTCTTTATAATTTTCATTACAGAAACATCAACAAAACATTATTCCCAATTCTACAAATGGGGAGTAAATGGCTTAAAATTAATTTGCCTAAAGTGATGCCATGACATAGCTGAAAAAGCTTTGGAGGCCTCATCTTCCAGCTTAGAGAGCTGCTATGTGTGTAACTACACAGTTTAAATAAAGGTAGCCATCAGATTCATGGAAGCTATTGCTCGTTCAGAGGTACTTTTGAACTCCAAAGAACAGGGATTTCTTAATGTTTGATTATTAAGGTTCAAATTAAGGAAAAGAACCTTATACAAAGACGAGAGTAACAGACAGGGATATAGACCTGTGGATATGTAAACAGGCCATAGGCAACATTTCTCTGCTGGTGCACTTGAATAGTGACCAGCTGACATCAGTGGGCACTAGGCTGAGAAACCTAATCTGTATTTATATCCCAAAAATAAAAAAAACCAAACCCATGGGCAAAAGCCACCAGGAATGACAAGCCAGTGTCTAAAAGCAACACTATCAATTCACATCTGTTTACTTGTTTCTCTACCTATTTAACAAAGCAATCCTGCAGTGGCTAAAAATATAAAATTATAAAAGTCAGCCCTCTGCAATTTCCAAAATCTCAGTGCTGCTGTCGTAATAAACTAGAAATAGCATAGTATGTTCTCTATGGAGAGAAGCATAGATTTGAAATTGAGAGGGGGAGGGGGGGCAGAATCATTCCTCAATAACTGAAGTTACTACTAGTGAAATAAGACATTTACTTGCACTTCAAAATTTAAGTTTATAGCAAACCTGTCAGCTAAACATTAAAAATGAAAAGCAGAGGTACAGTAAGCAGACAGCCAAGCTGGGGTCTGGTCCCTTAATACCAGTAAATATTAAATATACTGAAAGAACACCTATCAACAATGTATTACTTAGCTTGCCTCCAAGCCAAGAATGACCCTGAAATAGCTTGGGGGCAGTCAGGCTTTTTAATTTAAGAGCAGTTTCTGAAAGGAACCTGTACTTTTTCCTTCCTCCTGAAAAAAATTTTGCCAAGTCCCTAAATATGAAGTTCTTTTCTCCACGCAGCTATGAGAGCATGCACTTGCTGCCAGTCTTTAGGCTAGAGCTCAGTCTTGGGAAAAAACCTGTCACAGCATTAATTACAGAGGACTAAAGAAGGTCCTCCTAAGCCACCAACACTGCATCTTCACCAGGGTTCCTATCATTTGCCACAAAGCACTATTCTCAGAATCACAGAATGGTTTGGGTTGGAAGGGCCCTTAAAGCCCACTCAGTGCCAACCCCCCTGCCATGGGCAGGGACACCTTCCATAGCCCAGGTTGCTCCAAGCCTCATCCAGCCTAGCCTTGGACACTTCCAGGGATGGGGCATCCACAGCTTCTCTGGGAACCTGTCCCAGTGCTCCCCACCCTCTCCAGGAAGAATTTCTTCCCAATATCCAATCTAAACCTCTCCACTTTCAATTTAAAACCATTACCCCTTATCCTATCACTGCAAGCCCTATTCACCCTCTTTCTTCCCCGGATCTATTTCTGAGCAGTTATGGAAGTTTGGCCATCACAAAACCACACCACAGATGAAGCAAAACACCAAATTTGCTTCTCCCCAAAAAGCTGACATGCCAGAGCACAAACAGGGAAGGCTCAGCAGGCATGCAAACACAGCTGGAAACCCTTGGCAGAAGTATAAGTGTTAATTTTTATCTTCTTCCTTGGGCAGGTAGAGAGGCACCCCAAATATCCCAATTCCAAAGGCACTTTAACCCCCCCAGTCACTTGAGGGGAGCTGCAGGCATTCATCACTGCCTGGAAAGCTGTCAGCGATTTCACCAAAGCAGGAACAGGATCAGGAACAACATTTGTCAAACTGAGAAGCTGAGTTGAAAATGCAGTGAAGGAAGAACTGAAAGCAAGCAGGAAAATGTCATTAAAAAGGTTTCAAGACATTCAGGAAAAGTATTATCTAAAACACAAGGTATAGAAATTCAAAGCTTTCCGCTCAGATCATTCAGCTCTGTGTTTATCTTCCCAGTTCCTGAAAAGTTTGTTATTCTCAAAACTAATAATTAAGACCAACATACAGCTCTCAAACACCTCTTTTAAGAAACAAATGGACCAGTCAATCACCTATTATACTTTTAAAAAAATAAACCAACCAACACACAACACAAATCCCCCCTATTGTTAAGCACTGAACTTGCTGCTTCTGGAAAAATCTGCTTTGCTGTTATTTATTTTGTGCGTGTGTTTTTGATGGCCTTTCTGACACTTCCTGTTTGCAGTCAGACAAGCTAGGAGTTATGTTGTTGATCAATGCCACTTTCCCAGGGATTGAACGCTACAGGTAAATAACACTGGCGACCTCCAACATTACTCACACTTGGAGCCTTTTAACCCAAGGCAGCCCCACTCCCATAATGCCTCACTACAACATATCCCGTTTCCCATTAATGCCAATTATCAAAACAGAAAAACTTTAACATTCAGAACAGGCAGGGGGGTTGGAACTAGATGATCTTTAAGGTCCCTTCCAACCCAAACCATTCTATGATTCTATGATTCTATGATTCTATGATTCTATGATTCTATGATTCTATAACAGTTTGGGTTTGGAAAACAACTAGATGCTCACTCCAAGCCCATGGAAATCAAGTTAAGGGCTCCAACTAGTTTAGGTGGTGATACGTATAAATTGTAGAATGGTTTGGACTGGAAGGGACCTTAAAGACCATCTAGTTCCAGCCCCCTGCCAAGGGCAGGGACACCTTCCCTGCCATGTGATGGACTGACCACAACCCCCATTCCCCCATCCCACTGCACTGCTGGCAGTGAAGAAGGACAAAAAAAATGAGTGAAGCTGAGCCTGGGAAGAAGGGGTTAAGATTTGGGTTTAGTTCTCTTTCAGTCTGATAGGTAATAAATGAAATAAGTTTTCTCCAGGCTGAGTTTGTTTTGCCCATGACCATAACTGTTCTCCCTGAGGTCCTTATGCCAACCCACCAGCTCTCTGTTGTTTTCTCTGCCCTGCCCAGCTGAGGAGGGGGGTGATGGAGTCGCTTTGCTGGGCACTGGGCTTCCAGCCAGGGTCAGCCCAGCACATTCCTTCCCCGTACACAGCTTTTCTTGTACTTTACTTGTTTTGAGGGCTCCCAAAACTAGTTGTGGTCCTCCTAATACAGCCTCACAAGTGCGTAGTCCTATGGTCTGATCCTGCAGGCACAAGAGGGTGAATCTAAACAGTGGGATACGTGTTATTCAGCAAAACTGTCACCCAAAAAGTCAGCAGGGGAACCAAAACTTGTTTTCCTTAAGCCTTGGCCACCCTGCACATACACTGCGCCAAGGATGTAATTAATACGCTGCCCCTGCTTTTTGCTCCTTATCCCTGCCGTGGTAGGCATACTGGATCATGAACATTACAGGTGGTATAAAACATGCAACGGTATCACATTTAATTAGCTTTTCTCCACTTTTTCTCCCCTCAGCTTAGACTAGATTTCCCAAGTAGTTACCTGGTTTTTAATACTCTTATTACCTACTGTGTGCTATTCACACTAACAAGAGGACTAATAGATGTAGAATTGCATATAGAGGGGAAGAGTTATCACTACAAGACTCTGCTTAAGACTGATAATGGAATAGCAGCCTTATTCAGAGAACCTGAAAATTAGACATACAGAAGAGAACTACAAAGTGGTTCAAGGGTCCAGAACAAGCACCCAAGGGTCCTTCAAGCCTCTTTCTTCCACCCGCCTGGCTCCGCTAAATGGAAATAAGTGGTTTTGGGAGGTTGGGGGTAGATGGCGGCATTGTGTTTGAGTATCTGGACATCAAGATAATTATAGGTAAGAGCTCCCCAGCATTCTTTTTTTGGCAGGGGTTGGGGTGCAGAGAGGAGCTACAGCAACAGAAAACAGCTGGAAGGTGAATCAACAGGCAACCATCTTGTTATTCTTTAAAAAAGCTGATTTATCATGAGTAAAGAGCCCCAAAAGAAGTGTTAAGTAACATCACCATCACCACTATTTCTTTTTCCTTTTTTAAACTCAGGAAGAAGTCTAAAGCCATACTAAAAATAAATGCAAAATAAATGTATATATTCAAATAATAAAAATATTGGCCTGGATTACAAAGAATGTGGTTTAGATAATCTGATAGTTGTCTCTGATGTTAAAAATCTACTTATTATCTACAGCAATAAGCAGTGACTCTCTAGAAAATAAGGATCAATGAAATAAGCCTGAAAAAAGAGCTCTGCTTTGTACGAGCTAAAAATCGCATGTCTGTAGAAAATAACTGTGGCACCAGAACCATTATGCAGCTTGTTTAAAGGTCACAGGCAGTTTATAGCAGGGCTTAATTGCCCTAAAAAGAAAATTCAGCTAAACATTTGCCTAACATAACACCCAATTTGGAAGGGTTTAATTTAGCGTTTTACAACAAACCAGAACCTACGTACTGGCAAGGTATTTGTAAAAATTGTTCTTTCTTCCCTGACTTCGTCCAAAGTTCTTCAATCTGCTTACAGTTAAACTTAGATACTCCCTTACAAGGTTTTTTCCAACTCTATTTTAATTTTCCAAAATGCATTGTAAAATAGATGGGAAAAGAGAGGAAGTTTTGGGTT